TACGGCCAGGCGAGGCTGAAACACCAGTTCCTTTACGGCAACCGAAGTTAAGCAACGTCGAGCCTGGTCAGTATCTAGATGGGTGACCGCTTGGGAATACCACGTACTGTAAGCTTGAATGTGTGGATGGTGCAATGGATAATGGTTTGGAATTGTTAATCGGAGAGCAGAGTTCCAATTCCAGTCGGGTTCGTTACATCCACTTACGCACAAATACCCTAAGGAAAGGTGTTAACTCACCACTTCTCATTCTTTTAATCTAAAAAATATTTCTGGCTTTAAATAACCTGCAAAGGTTGATATGCTGTACAACTAATCAATTAGCCAATGAAATTCTGATTAACTACACAGGCATGCGTTTTCAATTTATTTACATTCTCTGGGATGTAAATGTTTAGAAAATGGCCAGAAAGTGAGGGATCAGTTTGTATAGTGATTGTTATATAGAATTGATCCCTCTCTTTATACCCATATTATTTCTTGTTTGTCTATCTAATTCTGGTTATGAATCCATCTCTTCTCCCCCAGCTATGTGTTAATTAGTAAGACTTGTATCACTAAGCAATTATTATTCACCCCACAAATTCTTTCAATCTGAAAATATTTTCTGGCTTTAAATAACCTGCAAAAAGGTCGATAAACGATAAAAAACGAATCAAACTATCAATAATCCCTGTTCTGCCAAGCATTTATTGAAGCTCGCTAGATAGCTTATTCGCTGCTTTCCCTGTCTTCCTGTTTTCTTTAACATTTTCTGTGAGTGTCAAGTTCTCCAAGTCCTCTTTCCTCATTATTCATACTAGAATTTTTTCTTTCTAATTAAAAGTATAAGCGTTTTTTTTTCCTAAACATTCCTCGTTGCTCACATGTTCTCAGCATCCTTCTGTAGAATCACGTTTCTGTGTCTCCAAGAATCATTTTTCGTCTTTTGGTGTATATAGGAGCGAATGGTGACGGATAAATTCTTATACTAAAAGAGTATATTGCAACGAATAAATGGGTCGTGAATCCGATAAGCTAGATCTAAGATAGCTAGGGATGACCAACCCTGACAAGTCTTCCCACTTTTTTCGGCCTTGTGCCACAATTGCTGTATCAGTGATGAATCTTAAACTCGTTTTCGTCAGTGAGGAGCTTGTCTATCATTCACTGCCACATAAGAGGAACGATGTTATGTCACAGTGCAGTAAATTTTCTTTGTTTATAACAAGATTTTCTTGTTTCTTAATATTTTCCTTGGCTTTTGGAAAGCATCTTGCGATCTCCCAACGAGTCTTCAGAATTTGGTCTCGTTTTTTCTGCTGTTCCGTTTACTGACTACTGTATATATCTTCTTACAATTATTGTTTAGTTCTTTCTCATACCTTTCATTCACATTTCGTTTCTGTAGCAGTTATTGAAGCTTCCTATCTATCTATCTATCTATCTATCTATCTATCTATCTATCTATCTATCTATCTATCTATCTATCACAAGTTTCAGAGGGCTTACCAACACCAGGCTTCATCCTAAAAGTGAAACGTCAGAGTCAATCTGAGGCTTTCCAAAAAGTATCGGGAAGGATTTCTGGCGTCTTCCGTATATATACGTGCTATCTATCTATCTATCTATCTATCTATCTATCTATCTATCTATCTATCTATCTATCTATCTATCTATTAAATCGTGTAGTGGAGGCACTTTATTAAGGAGGAAGGCAACTTCTTTCAGGATTAACGTTTCAGGCATATTCAGATCAAGTGCAACCTCCGAGGAGGCACTCAGTCTGGTTTGCCAACTAATATGCAGCCTTGGAAATGTAGTATGTGAATGCATGCTTTTGTCGAGGCAAGTTATGCAAGCCATCTGAAAGGTCATCGATACAGCCATCGGTATATGAATGTCTTTATTGCTTTGCGTGGGATGAAATTATACCTATATATATATATATATATATATATATATATATATATATATATATATATATATATATATATATATATATATCTTAGTAACAATAATAAATATTAATTATCAGTATAAATGTTATCATTGATATTATATATCGAGCACTATTTTATTAGCACCAGCTCTCAATGAGCAATAATTGACATTAATTTGGTTAATCTAGACATACCCATAAGTATAGTTTTAATTCGGACAATATATCCCATTTAACTTCTGAAAAGAGGTGACGATTTGTTTTTAAATTTTCCTAATAAATCATTTTTTTATTACAAGTTATCTACCATGGCCTGAAGAAGTACAATCTTAGTATTGAAACATGAAAGCTTTTGTAGTAGCGATGTAAAATGTTTTCATTGAAATTTATTACAAAAAATATTATAATATCTATCTATCTATCTATCTATATTTTTTTTAAGCATTACGCCCCGAGCAAGGCGTAAGGCACTAGGATGCAGGGGGTTGCAGAAGATTTGCAGCAAGATCAGATAGGAGTGATAGAAGAAAGGATGAGGAGAAGGATAGTGGATAGATCAAGGTAACTGGAGGTGTCGATTGATATTACATTTGAATAGTTGGAGATTATAGCTCCCAGGGAAACAGTAATAGGCAAGGGTGTTCCACAGGCGAGAGGTGCGAGGTATGAAGCTATTGAGAGACGGCTACATTTAAAAGTTTCTACAGTGTAAGGGTGGGAGCGGGATGCCAGCCTCGTAGGGCGCTTGAATTCATGGAGTCTGGGAACCAGTGAAAGCAGCTCATCGGAGCAATTACCGATTAAAGTATTTGTAGAAAAGACAGAGAGAGGCGACGGCGCGTCTGTGAGAGAGTGACTGTAGACGAGATGCCAGATCAGGGCCAATTATATTACATATCCGTCTCTGGATCTTGTCAAGAACTCCGAGGTAAACAGAAGGTGCACCAGACCATATATGGAAGCAATACTCCATGCAAGGGCGAATGATTGATTTGTATATTTGAAGTATCGACTCCGGGGAGAAAAATTTCCTGGCGCGGCACAGAGAGCCAACTTTCCTCGCGGTGGAAGAAGCAATTGACTCAATGTATTTGTTCCATCTTAAGTCAGCAGTCAACGTGAGACCGAGCAGGCGCAGGGAGTTGCTCTCAGGAAGTTGACTATCAGACATTCTAATGGGGGGCAGGGAAGGATCTCTATGGTGGTTAATGGAGAGTAGTTTAGTTTTTGAGGCGTTAAAGTTGACCAGCCAATTCTTGCCCCAATGAACAACCGATTGGAGGTCCATTTCAAGACACACGGCCAGGTTAGTTTTGTCACCGACACTAGATTTGTTTCTGAGGCAGGAGTAAATTGTAGTGTCGTCCGCGTAGATGCCAACTTGGGAATCTATGGCCTCAGGAATTTCGTTGGTGAAAATAAGGAATAGATATATATATATACAAGTTGGCAATAAAGTTACTTTACACTTATAATAAAAAAGCAAAGCAGTGAAGCAGGTGGCTTACACTTTGAACAGTAGTGATAATTAATTCACTATTGTTTACAGTTGCATTTTACTGTTATTATCCAGAATTAACCAGAACCATTTTAAATTCATAAGTTGTTGATTGTTTTGTCATAATTGTTAATGTAAATAACTGCATAGTGATTTTTACCCCCATCTCATATATATATATATATATATATATATATATATATATATATATAAATATTGTAATAAAAAGAAAGAACAGTAATATAAATTTACAGAGCATAAATACCGAAATCAGACGTCCCTATCGAAATATTTCTGGCACTTAAAAGAAACCAATAAAACACCTACAGTAAAATGGAAATTAATAATAAAAGCTAGAATATGTAGGCCATTAAATGACCCATGTCCTTTTTGCATACATGAGAAACTATATATTACTAAGATTATTAAAATAAAAATTTATTGAATCAAAGAAATGAAATAGCTATTCTTTGCCGACACTGTCAAATATTTTCCTTAAATATTATTAAAAAATAAAATAAAATAAATTAAAAAAAAAATGGGAGCTGGTAATATACATACTTATTTTTAAATATTTTAAGTAATTCTATTACATTTATTTGTCTATTAGTAATTAAGAGTAAACACAATATATTAAAATTGTAGTTCAATATCACGTATTCTAACCCAAACACCCCTTTTAGAAAGAATCTTTATGTACATAAGTAAGAATTTAACGAAAAAAAATGCCGAAAAACATTTTCTCGTTGATAAAAAAAAACAGACGACATGCGTTGAACGGATGTCAAAATTCGTTGAAAAATGCACCCCGACCCTACCTAGACTTAACCTCTTTTTCGAATGTAACTCATAATTGATAGAATAATAGTTAATAAAAATGAACACGCATCTCTTCTGGATATGTGTTCACAAGGACTATTTGGGCTTTGTTTGATGAGGAGATCCGACATGGTCGAGTGGTCAAGGCACGTCCGATCTAATGATGGTTCGAATCTTGAAGAAAGGCCCAAATTTTTCTAATAAGATTTCTCGAATATTCGAGCCGGTATGTGGAAACAAATTAATATCTTGTTTAATAAATAAATAAAAACAGACCATCTGCTCAATGTGCGTATCCATTAAAAATAGCGTTTAAACAAATAAATTACAAATATGTCGGATTTAATCTATTCTAATATATATATATATATATATATATATATATATATATATATATAGTAAACATAGAAGTCAACACTTAGAGGCGACAGTCTGTTTCATGCTATATGTAATCGTCAGGCCTGAAGATTGCATCTAGCATGAAACAACTGTCGCCTCTAAGTGTTGACTTCTATGTTCACTTTTATAATTACACACGCTCTATCTCTGATATCGAGCACTTTATCCCGTAAATATAGCACACCTTAAGACTATATTTCTTCATATATATATATATATATATATATATATTAAGAATATTATATTCTTCATTTGTCTGTTACCCCTCTCTAGATCTTTCTTTTACCTCTTCCACTCTCATACATAAAATATCGCTAAATTTTATTTTTTATACTCGAAGTTATATTTTCCGATTTCTTTTTGGATTTTGTGGGTCTGTTGAAGTGGATTGTGATTACGATTCCACTGTAATAAATGGAATATTAGTATTTAAGACTTTTAATTATATCCTTACTCTGTCCTGGACATTGAGTTCT